AGTGCTGGTATAGTAGTGCTGGTACAGTGGTTACAGTGCTGGTACAGTAGTTACAGTGCTGGTACAGCAGTTATTGCTGGTACAGTGGTTACAGTGCTGTTACAGCAGTTAGTGCTGGTACAGTGGTTAGTGCTGGTACAGTGGTTACAGTGCTGGTACAGTAGTTACAGTGCTGGTACAGTAGTTACAGTGCTGGTACAGTGGTTACAGTGCTGGTATATTGTTTACAGTGCTGGTACAGTAGTGCTGGTACAGTAGTTAGTGCTGGTACAGTAGTTAATGTGCTGGTACAGTACAGTGCTGATACAGTAGTGCTGGTACAGTACAGTGCTGGTACAGTAGTTAGTGCTGGTACAGTAGTTACAGTGCTGGTACAGTGGTTACAGTGCTGGTACAGTAGTTACAGTGCTGGTACAGCAGTTAGTGCTGGTCTAATAGTTACAGTGCTGGTGCAGTAGTTACAGTGCTGGTGCAGTAGTTATAGTGCTGGTACAGTGGTTACAGTGCTCGTACAGTGGTTACAGTGCTGGTGCAGTAGTTATAATGCTGGTACAGTGGTTACAGTGCTGGTACAATGGTTACAGTGCTGGTCTAATAGTTAGTGCTGGTGCAGTAGTTATAGTGCTGGTACAGTAGTTACAGTGCTGGTACAGCAGTTACAGTGCTGGTCTAATAGTTACAGTGCTGGTACAGTAGTTATAGTGCTGGTGCAGTAGTTACAGTGCTGGTGCAGTAGTTACAGTGCTGGTACAGTAGTTACAGTGCTGGTACAGTGGTTACCGTGCTGGTACAGTAGTTACAGTGCTGGTACAGTGGTTACAGTGCTGGTACAGTAGTTACAGTGCTGGTACAGTAGTTAGTGCTGGTACAGTAGTTACAGTGCTGGTACAGTGGTTACAGTGCTGGTACAGTAGTTACAGTGCTGGTACAGTAGTTACAGTGCTGGTACAGTGGTTACAGTGCTGGTACAGTGGTTACAGTGCTGGTACAGTGGTTACAGTGCTGGTACAGTAGTTAGTGCTGGTACAGTGGTTACAGTGCTGGTACAGTAGTTACAGTGCTGGTACAGTGGTTACAGTGCTGGTACAGTAGTTACAGTGCTGGGTACAGTAGTGTTACAGTGTGAGTAGTTACAGTGCTGGTACAGTGTTACTGCTGGTACAGTGGTTTCAGTGCTGGTACAGTAGTTACAGTGCTGGTACAGTGGTTACAGTGCTGGTACAGTAGTTACAGTGCTGGTACAGTGGTTACAGTGCTGGTACAGTAGTTACAGTGCTGGTACAGTGGTTACAGTGCTGGTACAGTAGTTACAGTGCTGGTACAGTGGTTACAGTGCTGGTACAGTAGTTACAGTGCTGGTACAGTAGTTAGTGCTGGTACAGTGGTTAGTGCTGGTACAGTAGTTACAGTGCTGGTACAGTGGTTACAGTGCTGGTACAGTAGTTACAGTGCTGGTACAGTAGTTACAGTGCTGGTACAGTGGTTACAGTGCTGGTACAGTAGTGATGGTACAGTGGTTACAGTGCTGGTACAGTAGTTACAGTGCTGGTACAGTAGTTACAGTGCTGGTACAGTGGTTACAGTGCTGGTACAGTAGTTACAGTGCTGGTACAGTAGTTAGTGCTGGTACAGTGGTTAGTGCTGGTACAGTAGTTACAGTGCTGGTACAGTAGTTAGTGCTGGTACAGTAGTTAGTGCTGGTACAGTAGTTACAGTGCTGGTACAGTAGTTACAGTGCTGGTACAGTGGTTACAGTGCTGGCCTGGTAGTCTTGGCATGCTGTCATGAGTTTCTTATATAACTGATTCTCTTTAATCATAATCGTTAAATCAGCAAGGGTCGTACAGCACTATGAAGCAGTCGCATTTGATGTATAGAATAGCAGGGTAGCTCCAGTTTCTTGGATCAAGAAACCTTTCATCATCACCAGTATCCTCTGGAGGGGATGCATGAGTGGAATTCTTACAACTTAATATTTGCGAGTAACATCCTAATATGTAAATTATAAATGGAAAAAAAGCCTATAAGAATAACATGTAAGTCATGGATGGAATTAAAGACGACGACAAATATTCACTACAATTAATCAGTATAGCAATTAAACTACAAAAGTGGTTTTGAATCATTTATCAAACTGCAGCAGGCCAGGATTCAACCCCACGACACGGTGTCCCACCTCAAGAGGTGCACGGCAGTCAACACCATGTGGAGTTACCTGGAGTTTACCTGGAGAGAGTTCCGGGGGTCAACGCCCCGGCGGCCCGGTCTGTGACCAAGCCTTCTGGTGGATCAGAGCCTGATCAACCAGGCTGTTGCTGCTGGCTGCACGCAAACCAACGTACGAGCCACAGCCCGGCTGATTAGGAACTGACTTTAGGTGCTTGTCCAGTGCCAGCTTGAAGACTGCCAGGGGTCTGTTGGTAATCCCCCTTATGTGTGCTGGGAGGCAGTTGAACAGTCTCGGGCCCCTGACACTTATTGTATGGTCTCTTAACGTACTAGTGACACCCCTGCTTTTCATTGGGGGGATGGTGCATCGTCTGCCAAGTCTTTTGCTTTCGTAGTGAGTGACTTTCGTGTACAAGTTCGGTACTATTCCCTCTAGGATTTTCCAGGTGTATATAATCATGCATCTCTCCCTCCTGCGTTCCAGGGAATACAGGTTTAGGAACCTCAAGCGCTCCCAGTAGTTGAGGTGCTTTATCTCCGTTATGCGCGCCGTGAAAGTTCTCTGTACATTTTCTAGGTCGGCAATTTCACCTGCCTTGAAAGGTGCTGTTAGTGTGCAGCAATATTCCAGCCTAGATAGAACAAGTGACCTGAAGAGTGTCATCATGGGCTTGGCCTCCCTAGTTTTGAAGGTTCTCATTATCCATCCTGTCATTTTTCTAGCAGATGCGATTGATACAATGGTATGGTCCTTGAAGGTGAGATCCTCCGACATGATCACTCCCAGGTCTTTGACGTTGGTGTTTCTCTCTATTTTGTGGCCAGAATTTTTGTACTCTGATAAAGATTTAATTTCCTCATGTTTACCATATCTGAGTAATTGAAATTTCTCATCGTTGAACTTCATATTGTTTTCTGCAGCCCACTGAAAGATTTGGTTGATGTCCGCCTGGAGCCTTGCAGTGTCTGCAATGGAAGACACTGTCATGCAGATTCGGGTGTCATCTGCAAAGGAAGACACGGTGCTGTGGCTGACATCCTTGTCTATGTCGGATATGAGGATGAGGAACAAGATGGGAGCGAGTACTGTGCCTTGTGGAACAGAGCTTTTCACCGTAGCTGCCTCGGACTTTACTCTGTTGACGACTACTCTCTGTGTTCTGTTAGTGAGGAAATTATAGATCCATCGACCGACTTTTCCTGTTATTCCTTTAGCACGCATTTTGTGCGCTATTACGCCATGGTCACACTTGTCGAAGGCTTTTGCAAAGTCTGTATATATTACATCTGCATTCTTTTTGTCTTCTAGTGCATTTAGGACCTTGTCGTAGTGATCCAATGGTTCAGACAGACAGGAGCGACCTGTTCTAAACCCATGTTGCCCTGGGTTGTGTAACTGATGGGTTTCTAGATGGGTGGTGATCTTGCTTCTTAGGACCCTTTCAAAGATTTTTATGATATGGGATGTTAGTGCTATTGGTCTGTAGTTCTTTGCTGTTGCTTTACTGCCCCCTTTGTGGAGTGGGGCTATGTCTGTTGTTTTTAGTAACTGTGGGACGACCCCCGTGTCCATGCTCCCTCTCCATAGGATGGAAAAGGTTCGTGATAGGGGCTTCTTGCAGTTCTTGATGAACACAGAGTTCCACGAGTCTGGCCCTGGGGCAGAGTGCATGGGCATGTCATTTATCGTCTGTTCGAAGTCATTTGGCATCAGGATAACATCGGATAGGCTTGTGTTAATCAAATTTTGTGGCTCTCTCAAAAAAAATTCATTTTGATCTTCGACTCAGTCTGGTTAGAGGCTTGCTAAAAACTGAGTCATATTGGGACTTGAGTAGCTCAATCATTTCCTTGCTGTCATCTGTGTAGGACCCATCTTGTTTAAGTAGGGGCCCAATACTGGACGTTGTTCTCGATTTTGATTTGGCATAGGAGAAGAAATACTTTGGGTTTCTTTCGATTTCAGCTGAACACGGTGTGAAGTAGCTGAACATGCAGGCTTGACTGAACTGTTGTTACATGAAACGATAAAACAAGCTGACTGGAGTCTGAGGTGATGAATGGGTATAGCAATAAGAGCTCACAGAATGACACTCCCCCCCACAAACATAAATGAAGGTACAGTTCAATACACCTCATTCATGACGTTTTGACAGCCACTGCAGATCACACAATCCATCGCAATCTCGCTGGCTCGATCAAAACACACAGGGTTCATCAGAGAGCTGAGTACCAAGTTAAGTTTATAAGGATCCCCAACACCAGACGTCACCTATCATCCCAGAGAGTGGAGAAGCAGGTACACCGCAGTTGGGAAACACATGCCGGAGTAAAGTTGCATATACCATATCTTTACCCCTCAAGGAAGGTTCCTTGATGTTGGTGAGGGGCTCTTGATTTAGGGAATTGGATCTGTGCTCCAGTTCCCCGAATTAAGCCTGAATGCCTTCCACATCCCCCCCCCAGGCGCTGTATAATCCTCCGGGTTTAGCGCTTCCCCTTGATTATAATAATAATAACCATATCTTTACATATATTAAATGTATCAGGGGGTCAAGTCAAAATGATTTTAAGTTTACATCTGCATTCTTCTATTTTAAAAAGTCCTTCATGCATACAAACAACCCACACCACAATCATACGTACACACATGCATAAAATTATATATTATAGCATAAATTTTTTACCTTCCCCTCACAGGATGTATCAGGGGAATTAAAAACAATCATATTAATAATTGATGGAGAAACACTGAGGATAGAGAAAAAGGGAAGGGGGGAGAGGGAGGGAGAGAGAGAAAGGAAATAATGTTTATTGTTTATGCTGTACAGAGTGGAGTGTTGGAGGAGCGTGAGGTTGAGTACCAACTGCCTGGTGGAGTACAGTTACTCAAGCTGCACGTACCCAAGGAAACTCATTCTACCCTGCGTGCCCATCTACCCAAGGTGAGTACACCCTCTTTGCCCAAGGTGACTACACCCTCCCTACCCACATTTAAAAGTTTCCTAGTTTAGTTCATTCAATGCATTGCCAGACATGTCATGGCTTTTTTAATTTGCTATTTGCAGTTAGATATAAATTTTATAAATAAATGTACCCTAACTTGCAGCAAATAGTATTTAAAAAGTTTACAGGAAACGTCAAGAAACAAATGTGTGGAACTTTGTAAGGAAATTAATGTACATGTAGTTAAATAAGATTAAAAATCAAGGTAAATACATAGTATAAATCTTCTTTCAACACACCGGCCGTATCCCACCGAGGCAGGGTGCCCCAAAAGGAAAAACGAAAGTTTCTCCTTTTACATTTAGTAATATATACAGGAGAAGAGGTTACTAACCCCTTGCTCCCGGCATTTTAGTCGCCTCTTACAACACGCATGGCTTACGGAGGAAGAATTCTGTTCCACTTCCCCATGGAGATAAGAGGAAATAAACAAGAATAAGAACTAGAAAGAAAATAGAAGAAAACCCAGAAGGGTGTGTATATATGTGCTTGTACATGTATGTGTTGTGTGACCTAAGTGTAAGTAGAAGTAGCAAGATGTACCTGAAATCTTGCATGTTCATGAGACAGAAAAAAGGACACCAGCAATCCTACCATCATGTAAAACAATTACAGGCTTTCATTTTACACTCACTTGGCAGGACGGTTGCTGTCTACCAGCTTACTACCTATATTGTATAAATATTACTAAAAATATTTTAGTGAATATATCTATTGAACAATCAAAAAGTAAGTCATTTTAAAGTTAATGTTCACAATCAGAGGAGGATTTGTAAGTATATAAGCCAATTTTAAGATAGTTCCGAAGATCAGACAATTCTTGCGATATATACATGGTTCTTACTTGCTTTATGTATACCCATTGTATATACAGGTTGTCTCGTGTATACACAAGGAATTTCTTATTTCATGTATGCATATTGTGCACACAGCAAATTACTCGCTTCTTGTATGTTATGGCTCAAACATCATTAAAGAGAAACTTAATTTTATTCTTTTTTTACAGTCAATGCCTCGCCGGGGAGAGCGTGGACTACACAGTGAAGCAGCCTCCATGGACCTGGCATCCCTCCGCTCCGTCCTCCTATCCCGCCAGTCCCTCCATACCTACCCTTCCACCCTGCCCACCACCCAGGAGACCTCCCTGGAGAGGTGCTCCAGTCCCCAGGAATCACAGAAGTTCAGACAGAACGCTCCTAGAGGACCGAGTCTGATGGCGAGGATAAGTGGGTGTAGTGACCTGGAGGGCCGTCCCTCACAGAGCTTACCTGGCTCTCCCAGGAAGATCCGTGTGGCAGCTACTCTGCCAGATGTGGGGGGTAACTCGCCTGACCTCCGCTACAAGGTGCTGACGGGTCGCAAGCCCAGACCCCCTGCCTCCTCACATTCCACTCCTCGCAGGATGCCTGGTGGTAGGAATGGTTTATCTCGAAACAACGATGCCAATAATGGGTTGAACATGGCCTCTAAACGAGGGTATGGGATGGGCGTTCCAGGCCAACCCCGCTACAACGTGGATAAGAGAAATACTCCAAACAATAAGTTGCTTAATAACTCAAGTGATGTTGCCAAACCTATCCTCAAGAATGGTACTGTGACTCTGTATGATTCTGAAAAGAGTGAAAGTGGTTTCGAGGATGGAGTTCAGTCTGACAGTGAGCTTAACATTAAAAACACGAAAAATAAACTGAATTTGCAGTTCGCACCTGACAAGATCAATAGACCGAGTCACGAGATAGAATTGGATGGGTTGAGTAATGATGAACCAAAAATTACTCGAGAAATCAATGGTAACCTTTCTAAAGACTATGATTCGAATGGTAAAGATAGTCCAAATGGTAATCTTACCACCTTGAAGTCACAAATGATGGATTTCAAAGATGAATCTGACACATCCAGAAGTGAGGAGTCGGACATTAGTGTGCTAGACCTGAGTACTTTTATAGAAACCAAAGAAAATGGGGATCGGCAGCTGGCCGAGGCTGTGAGAGGCTTGATGGAACTGACCACTAGGGATGATGACCAGGACAACACAATGCAGGGCCAGTCCATTGACAATCACCTGATGGAGTCTGGTGGGTAACTTCTGAATCATCCTTAGAAGTTAGGGAAAGGATTTTATAACAGGGTTTAGGCTCATGTTAACTCTTCTGAGTATATTTTCTACTAACTATGCTAATAACCTCCAATGTCATTTGTTCACAAATATATATTTAGTTAATTCACTTTCTGTCCTTTGATGCCACTTCATTTATTTTGGCACTCTTATTACTTGCTATTACAACATGTACACACACACCATCCAGTAATGCTGCAACATGCATACAGACAATCCAAGAATATTGCAACATGCTGGCACTAACAAACCACATGTAGGGTGGTGACTCTTTTATTACGACTTAATCTGAGTTCAAAAAAAGCTAGACCTGACATTAAATTAATAATTACAATAATAAAACCAGCTACTCTGGTAAATTAAAATTGTGGATTGTATATGATTAGGCTTGCTGGGTACACAAAGAAAATTCATATTACCACTTAACCATTTAATTACTGTAGATGGATCACACCACAACACCTGCCTAGCACCTAGACCCTACACTGGCCAGCTAGAGATCTACATGAAAAAATTAATGGTGCACTTCTCTGTGCGAGTGATGGCATATTCCTTATCTTCCACACGTAATTCTTGGTCCTGCAAATTTCCTGTCCCAATTCTTCAGCAGGGGACATCAACATAGGCTCCTATTACAAATCCAGGCTGAAACACCCCAGTTTGGCCTTGTAGATGCCGGATTATTAGTTGAATTTTCTACAACATCCAGTGCTCACGGATTACAAAATGGCATCCCCCGTCACTGCCCCGGCTGTTCTGCATCCTCCCCTCATTCGAAATTTCTTGAAGGGTCAAATCAGCATCACATTTTAATACACACTTATTATATAATTCAAATTTATACATGCTGAATTTAGGAAAAAATTAAAATTCTCAACATATACAGTATATACCACAGAGCCAGACCTCAGCCCTAGATAAGTACGGGCACCTATTTGAAGCTCGCATGAATTTTTTTTCCTTTAGTGTGCACTTCAGCGAACGAACAGTTCTTGTGGATTAATATCCAATATTCTTTTGTGTATACTGTTTTCCTCTCATGTTTCCATTATCATAGCCTTACCTGTTTTCCACTAGTAATGACATCTTTAATTGGTGAAAAATGTGTGTCTTACCAACCCCATTTCATGTCCTTAATCAGCAGAAATCCCGCAAAATGTTCTGTGATGAGGTTATGACTTGAATTGATCAGTGTCTCATGGTATGTTTACAAACTGAAGGATGAGAGACTCATTTGTTCAACATGTTATGCAGCATTGACACAAATACAGTGGACCCCCGCCTTACGATATTAATCCGTTCCTGAGAGCTCATCATATGCCAAAATTATCGTTAGCCGAATTAATTTTCCCCATGAGAAATAATGGAAATCAAATTAATCCATTCCTGACACCCCAAAGTATGAAAAAAAAAAATTTTTTACCACATGAAATGTTAATTTTAATACACACAAACTGAAGAAGACATGCACAATTACTACTCTACTAAAAATAGAATACATGACACTTACCTTTATTGAAGATCTGGTGATGATTGATGGGATGGGAGGAAGGGAAGAGTGTGGAAGTTATTGTTTAGAAGGGGAATCCCCTTCCATTAGGACTTGAGGTAGCAAGTCCTTTTCCGGGGTTACTTCTTCTTTTAATGCCACTAGGACCAGCTTGAGTCACTGAACCTCTGTCGCACAACAAATCTGTCCATAGAGCTCTGTACCTCCCGTTCCCTTAAGACTTTCCTAAAATGGGCCATAACATTGTCATTGTACAGGTTGCCAACATGGCTTGTAGTAGCTGTGTCAGGGTGATTTTCATCAATAAAGGTTTGCAGTTCAACCCACTTTGCACACATTTCCTTAATTTCTTTTTTCAATTCGATACTAATTCTCTCCCTTTTTACCACTAGGATGGCACTAGAAGCTTTCTTGGGGTCCATGGTGACTTATTTCGCAGTCATAAGCACTAAAAACACTGGGATAATGTGAAATGTACCGAATGTATGCATAGATGCGACTGCACTGGCTGGCTTGTAAACACTGGCACTGAGGCCACACGTGGGACACGTCCCGGATGAATCATGTAAGGCGAGGCAAAATTTTTGCATTCAAATGCTTCATATGGCGGGTTTAACGTAATGCGATGCGTTCACAAGGCGGGGGTCCACTGTACTAGTATTTTGTTGCATTAGATTATTATAATCAAAACCAAGCGCTAAACCCACCAGGGTTCACATTAGATAAGATCCTGACCAGTTCATTTTGCACATATTTCTCAAGATGGTGTACATGTTTTACTTTCATCTTCCACTGTGAAATAGCAAGTGTTTGTGCATAATTTCTATATTAAATTGGTCACATGTAGGTCTCTCCTCTCCATCTATGTAGTGTCGGAGGTTTATCCGAGTATCTTCCATACATTGTGCTTATTACCACCTCAGACTCGCACGATTTACTGTAATTGGATTCCTAGTCCACGACTATGTTTTATCTTCCTCAGAGGTCCTGCCATTGCATTCCAGTTTTCCTGCCAGCCACGTTTGTATCAACTACAATATAGTATCTTATTTTTTAGACAAATTAGTTCTACAGATTAAGAATTATCATACCTCAGCTCATCTCAAAGGCCAGCACTCTCTACAGTATACTACAACCCCCTGGGATGCCACTCACAACAGGCGACAAACACCCAAGGAACCTACTTATTGCTAGGTAACCAGGGACAGCAGGTGTGAGGAAACATACCCACAGTTTCCACCCATGCCGGGGATCAAACCACGGACACTCAGAATGTGAGAAGAGTGCACTACCAAGCAAGCCATATCATTGATTGAATTTCCTTTACTGCGTAAGGTAGCCTTGTTTTCATTCCAGTTATTCTCTGCTTTACCATTTCTGCCCTCTCATTTCCAGGTATTCCTCTGTGGCTTTTCTTGACTTGAGCACCACTCTGTGTACTATTCTTTAAGTTTTATCTTTCATCTCCATCACAAAGGAATTTCTGCTTTCTATATCTATTATGCTCTTTAGTGCTCTGGCAGCGTTGTTGAAAATCACCCCATTCTCTTACTCCCTATCTGTCAACCTTCTGAATACATGTATATGAAACCGTTACTATACATTAAAGCTCTATCATAATCATAATTAAGTGTTAACCCACAAGGGTTATTCATAGCTCTGTTTTAGATCACTGAGGATTTGAATAAAACATCTTTCTCAAAGTACAGTGGACCCCCGGTTAACGATATTTTTTCACTCCATAAGTATGTTCAGGTGCCAGTACTGACCGAATTTATTCCCATAAGGAATATTGTGAAGTAGATTAGTCCATTTCAGACCCCCAAACATACACGTACAAACGCACTTACATAAATACACTTACATAATTGGTCGCATTCGGAGGTAATCGTTATGCGGGGGTCCACTGTATTCTTCTCTTACGAATGCCACATTTATTAACTCCATCACCAGACAACTTCCATCCCAGCTCTTTTGTACATGACCTAACCTTTCCATGTCCTGATGTTGGGGCCAAAAATTCAGTTTGACTATTTGGTAACCCTGGCCCTGAGGCCACCTCTCTCTGCCCTAAGCAACAGCCTAATTGAACAGGCAATTAGCAGAACAACTTGGCCTCAGGCCGGGCAAAAAAGGCAGAAAAAAAAAAGCGAAACATGTCACAAGGAAAGTTGCTCCACTACTCTAGCACCAAAAGTTCAGATCGATCAGAACCAAAGGTTTGAGCTAATAATCCATACTAGCACCTGACAAACTTTAAGAAGAATTTTCAGGGAATAATTTCTAAGATAAAAAATGCATTGTAAATCCAGTCATGGTTAGACATGGTGTAAACCATAAGACCTGATGCTGACCAAGTAGATCCCACACTCAGTGGGTGTTTGACCTTATTTTGTGATGAAAATGGTTTTAAAAACCTACAAGTTGAGGAATAAGACAACTCTGCAACATTTGGGAATCTTCATTTGAGGAAATGTTTAGCCAGCCAGTGGCTTCTTCAGTCCAGGAACTGATTACCTCATACTCCTCATCTTCATCTTTTATTCTCTGTATTGGACTGAAGAAGCCAGTGGCTGGCAAAACGTTTCCTCAGTAAAGATTCCTAAATAATGCACCAGTGTCTCATCCCTTATTTTGTACAGAAGACTCATTCCTCACCCAACTTTCATTTTTGCCGCTATCACCGTCAGTGAGGCTACTTTGTGAAGTTTATGTTCATCCTTTTATATTCATCCTGAGTGTGGTGATTTGTTGAGCACCAGTAGTTCATCATGAGAGCAGTGGTTTGCTATACATTCCATGATGATGCTGTAAGCAGTAGTTTATTGTGCATCCCTTGCTAATCCTGTTAATGGCTAGTTCATTGTGCACCCAATGCTTATGAGAGCATTAAAAAATGGATTACAAAGGCTCTTTATCATATTCCACTTGGTAACTAGTTAATATAATTTTTAGATACATATTGCAAGAAACACGTTTTCAAGTGGAATCTGGATAACTACACGCTAAAGGTGCCATATTAACCAGGTTGTGGTTATTATTAGGCCTGTGGGCTGCCAGCTGCAGCAGCCTGGTTGGCCCACATGGGTTTTTATCACTGAGCGGAAAATAAAAAGTATCAATATCTTATGGTGTTTTCTTCTTCAGGTCAACATGATGGTCGAGGGTCGGCTGAGGGCTGGGAGCTGCTGACACTGTACACTCAGAAACACTCAGACACAGTACTACACTTGTTGCTTTCTCCTGCAGCACCTAAAACGCCACAGCTCATCTACTCTCTCGTAAGTATCATCCAGTCTTCTTGCTAATACCACTAGATGAGATGATCATTTGCGGGCATCTATATTGCACATGTGAGCTTTCAGATCTCCAGAGATAATACAGTGCTGCAATATATGGCATATTAAAGGTGTAACATGCTTGAGGGTGGAGAGTATAACAAAGGTAGTGTTAGTAAAGGTAGCGAGCAGTGCTAAAGGAAGTATAAGCAAAGTTGGTGTAATAAATCTGTGGCTGACAAAAAAGTCAAGAGAGAGTCTGTGTCAAAGGTGGGGAGATAATACATGTACTGTAATTTTAATGTTGATATATTTTTCAGTTGTAGGTAGTAGGTTGGTAGACAGCAACCGCCCAGGGAGGTACTACCGTCCTGCCAAGTGAGTGTAAAATGAAAGCCTGTAATTGTTTTACATGATGGTAGTATTGCTGGTGTTTTTTTCTGTCTCATAAACATGCAAGGTTTCAGGTACGTCTTGCTACTTCTACTTACACACTTACACTTAGGTCACACTACTCATACATGTACAAGCATATATATACACACACCCCTCTGGGTTTTCTTCTATTTTCTTACTAGTTCTTGTTCTTGTTTATTTCCTCTTATCTCCATGGGGAAGTGCGTGTTGTAAGAGTCGACTAAAATGCCAGGAGCAAGGGGCTAGTAACCCCTTCTCCTGTATATGTTACTAAATGTGAAAGGAGAAACTTTTGTTTTTCCTTTTGGGCCACCCCACCTCAATGGGATACAGCCAGTGTGTTGAAAGAAGAAATATGCAAGATTACAGGTATGTCTTACTACTACTACTAACACTTAGGTCACACTATACATACATGTACAAGCATATATATACACACCCCTTTGGGTTTTCTTCTATTTTCTTTCTAGTTCTTGTTCTTGTTTATTTCCTCTTACCTCCATGGGGAAGTGGAACAGAATTCTTCCTCCGTAAGCCATGCGTGTTGTAAGAGGCAACTAAAATGCCAGGATCAAGGGGCTAGTAACCCATTCTCCTGTATAAATTACTAAATTTAAAAAGAGAAACTTTTTTCTTTTTGGGCCACCCTGCCTTGGTGGGATACGGCCAGTTTGTTGAAAGAAGAATATTTTTCAGTAAATTTGGCTAATTTAAATTAGTTTTTTCTTTTCCTACATTGGCCATTTTTCCCATCAAAGTAAGGGTGACATAGAAAAGAGCACATTCACCATCATTCACTCCCTGTGTTTTCCACTAAGGTAGTGACAAAGAAAGAAACACATGACCATCACTCATTCCTAGGTGTATTTCCCATTAAGATAGTGGCAGGGAAATGCATGGTGGTGAAGGTGGGTCACCTTGCCTTGGTAATGAAATAGCCAGTATACAATAAAAATAAGATTACACTTCCATGGTCTAAGACCACTGTCTCTCACATGATTGGTTTCCATTTCTAGAAGTAAATGCAACTAGATGCATTTTGGTCACTGCGCGATGAGAGAAAGGCCTCATCATATTCCATAACCCTAGTCCTCTCTGCCTCAATGCATGTGACTGGAAAAATGCAGAATACAGCATAAGTTGACAATGCAGTTCAACATTAGCATTAAAGATTTGAAGGGAATTAGAAGAGGTATTCACAGGTCATCACATAGAAACTAATATCAAAATGTCTTCAATAAGAATGGAAATTGAGGACATACACAGCCCAAAATCTGATTCATTCCTTACAAGGAGACCAAAATCTTAAAATACACAAGCACATTAAGCTTGAAGTCATTCATAAATTGCATTATCGTGCTATCAGCATGGAAATTTTGAAGCTAATCAGATGTGACATTCAGGAATTATTGCATGAAATGCAGTATGTTTTTCAATTCTCCCATTTAAAAAAAAAGGTAAAATCAATCCAAATTTTAATCTAAGCTCCCCTTAAGCGAAGTTCCTTGACGCTGGTGAGGGGCTCTTGATCTAGGGAATTGAATCTGTGCTCCGGTTCCCTGAATTAAGCCTGAATACCTTCCACATCCCCCCTACAGGTGTTGCATAATCCTACAGGTTTAGTGCTCCCCCTTGATTGTAATAATCTAAGCAAGACTGACCAGCTTTTAAGAAAGTATAATAAATAAGCAAGTTTTATGTAAGCTTAGCATACATAACACACAAATGTGTAACAATGGTCTTCAGGACACACAGATATTATAGACAAAAGAACATTAAGTTGATTTCACCTAAGAAAACAAAATAAAATCAAACACTGACTTATTTATGATCAGAAGACATATTTTTCAATAATACCACAGAAACCAATACAATTAATAAAAATAGCACATTACAGCTTATACAATCTAGCATCAAGATGTTTCCTTCGAGTAAAACTCATCACCACTAAAAGTTTAGAGCCGCCCAGAAGAAACGTTTCCAAGATGTTATACAGAGCACAGTAAAATTTGTGCCTACACATCCTAAACCCATGAAACCGTTCATTTATTTCATGCCATGCACCAGCCATTGAAGTTGATGTTCATAATTGTTATACTTTAATCAGAGGAAAGCACTAAACCCATATTATCATTATAATCAAAAAGAAGCACTAAACCACAAGGGCTATACAGCGCTGCAGGGCAGGAAGGACGTGAGGGTATCAGGTAGCAAAAGGAAAAGGGATGATTAGAAGGTTACGGAGAACAGCGGGGTAGAGGGTAGCAAGAGATTGAGGTAGAAAGGGCTGAGGGGTGTGCGAATGGTATCATGAGTTTGTGGAGTAAATCAGTCATTGTCAAGAAGTCGATGAGAGAGTCAGGATTACAGGAGGGTCCATCATCAAGAAGGGAAGGTAAAGAGAGAGTAGTAGAGCGGAGACGACGACGGAGATAAATTCTGCGTGCTCGTTGATAGAGAGGGCAGTCTAACAGAATGTGGCTAATCGATACAGGAACCTGACTTCTCACAAAGGAACAGGGTGCCTCTCCATGAGATACCCACGAGTAAGATGAGCGTGGCCAATGCGAAGACGTGAGAGAGTAGTCTCCCAACCTCGACACTAATGACAAGATGACGGCCAGTAACCTATACTCGGTTTAATAGAATGAAGTTTGTTACCGAGTAGATTAGACCAACGTTGTTGCCAACGGTTGTGAAGATGGGCAGCTATTACAGCAAAATAGTTCATAAATGGAACACCTCTATATGAAACTGGTAGGTCATGTACTGCTGACCGCGCAGCAGTGTCTGCCTGTTCATTGCCCTGTACATCAACATGACCAGGGACCCAACTAAAAACAATATCTTTATGTTTGGTAGAGATACGGTGTAGCCAAAGTTGGATACGGAGAACTAGGGGGTGAGGTGTATCAAATTTTTGTGTAGCCTGTAGAGCACTAAGGGAGTTTGAGACAACCACAAATGATGACACAGGCATAGATGCAACACAGATAAGTGCTGCAAGAATGGCATACAATTCAGCTGTAAAAATGCTAGCCAAGGATAGTAAGTGTCCTCGTACGACACTATTCAGAAACACTGCTGCGAGTCCGACCCCATCCGAAGACTTAGAGCCATCTGTGTACACTGCGATGGCATGAGAATGAGAGCGGAAGTGGTCAAGAAAAAGAGAGCGGGAAGCTACCGTAGGCAGTTGGGCTTTTGTGCAAGGGAGTGAGAAAGAACAGACTCGAACAGCTAGAACTTCCCAGGGGAAAAGTGAGATGCTACATGAACATAGAAAGGTGGTAACTGAAGGGAAGATGAGCGAATGTAGGCGAAGAGAAAAGGGACGGAGCAAATAGGGGCAACGAACAAATAGCGTCTACTAACATCGGTGACTGTTCTATATATGGAAGGATTGTGGAGATCATGAGAGCGAACATTGTAGCTAAGGCAATGGGCATCACGGCAATCGGACAAGGATGGAATATTCGCTTCTGCATAGAGGCTCTCGACAGGAGAAGAGCGAAAAGCACCAAGGCACAAACGTATTATTATTATTATAATCAAGGGGGAAGCGCTAAACCCGGAGGATTATACAGCGCCTGGGGGGGGGGATGTGGAAGGCATTCAGGCTTAATTCAGGGAACTGGAGCACAGATCCAATTCCCTAAATCAAGAGCCCCTCACCAACATCAAGGAGCCTTCCTTGAGGGGGGCACAAACGTAATCCCTGGTGATGGATGGGATTAAGGCTCGAGAGAGTAGTAGGTGATCAGAATAGATCTGATCACCATAATCGAGTTTCAATAAAATGAGGGCTGAATGTAGGTGAAGGAGAGTTCGACAATCAGCTCCCCATGAAAGATGAGCAAGGGTTTTAAGAAGGTTCAGCAGGCTGTGACAGGTTGCCTTCAGAGAGGTAATTTGAGGTTTCCAGGATAACCTACAGTCAAAGAGAAGGCCTAGAAACCTGACTATATCATGTTCAGGGATACGGGAGTCATAGAGGTACAATGGATGATCAGAGATGACACAGCGTCTAGTTTAAGTAATTTGGCGAGTTTTAGTACTGGAAAATTTAAACCCATACGTGGTGGCCTAATTGGAAACAAGGTTGATCCCATGCTGGAGAGAAACTGTAATGAGGCGACAGTCAGCGTCTGCACAAGCAACAGCGAAGTCATCAACAGAGAGGTGACCAAATATTGGATGGAAGAAGAGAGGCCAAATCATTTATAGCAAGAAGAAAAAGTGTTGTGCTCAGAACACATCGCTGGGGGACACCTTCAGCTTGGACAAAGTCCGGGGAGAGCATATTAACCCGAACATGGAAATGTGTGTCAGTTCAGAAGTTCTTAAGGAAGGATGGTAGATTGCCTCGGAGGCCTAAGGAGTGGGCTTGGGCCAAAATATTATACCTCCAAGTTGTGTCATATGCCTTCTCAAGGTCAAAAAATATGGCAATAACTGAGTGGTTATTTGCAAAGGCATTACAAACATATATATCCAAGCATAGTAAGGGGTCTATGGTAGAACGGCCCTTACGAAAGCCATATTGACTAGTGGAGAGACTGTTGTGCATCTCTAAATACCACATTAAACGTCGATTTACCAGACGTTCCATCACCTTGCAAACTGCACTGGTAAGAGCAATGGGATGATAGTGGGAGGCATCATATCCCGTAGTACCCGGTTTGCAGAAAGGGAGAACAATAGCAGATTTCCACAGCTTGGGAAGAACTTGTGACCAAATAAGATTGAAGATGTGTAAGAGGACAGCAAGGGCTGACTGCTGTAAGTGTTGTAACATTTGAATATGAATGTTGTCTGGCCCAGCTGCCGATGATCAGCAAGCTGAGAGTGTCGCCTCCAGTTCCTGAAGTGTAAAAGGCACATTATAAGATTCTTCTTTGAGAGAAGAAAAGTCTAAGGGTGCTAACTCTCTGGCAGACTTTGAGGAAAGAAATGAGGGGCACAAATGTAGCCCCTGAGAAATATGGACCAGATGATTACCAATTTCAGTGGCAACATCAAGAGGGTTTGCTACATCAACACCGGCAACCTGCAGAACAGGAGCCGGGTCAGGAGAGTATTTACCACTCATTTTCTGTACTTTTTTCCAGACTGCACTCATAGAGGAAGCAGAGGTGATGGTGGAAGCAATCTCGCCAGCAAGTGCGTTTAGCATCACGGATGACACGATGAGCAACTGCACGCTTCTGCTTAAAATCAATGTCTCTCAGTGGTTCTGTTGTACTGGTACCCGCCCCATGCAGCGTGTTTCAAACGTACTGCATGAGCACAAGCAGGAGACCACCAAGGCATGCACTTCTGAGAATGCCTGCCCGAGGTTTGGGATATAGAATAAGAAGCTGCGGTTAAAACTGAGGACGAGAAGAGGTGTAAAAGCTCATTAATGGAGGATGAAGAAGGAACCTCACTAAAAACAGTTAGTTGGGAGTAAAAGTCCCAATTTGCTTGATCAAATTGCCAGTGTGGGCTATGAAGAGGTGGTGAATATGAAGGAGAAATAAGATTGATTGGAAAATGATCGCTGTCATATAAATCCAGGAGAACAGACCAGGTGAAGTCTAGTACAGCGGAGGAAGAGCAGACTGAGAGATCGATGCAAGAGAGAGTATGAGTACGAGGATCAAAATGGGTGGAAGTACCTATATTTAAAACATGGAGGGGGTGAGAAGTGAGAAAAACTTCCAACTGAATGCCACGGGAATCACAGTGAGATCCCCCCAGAGGAAATGATGAGCATTAAAATCACCTAGTAACAAAAGTGGTGGCGGTAAGGACGAGACAAGAAAGGCAACATCCGGGATAGATAATGCCCGAGAAGGAGAGAGATGCAAAGAACAGATTGTATACCACTTACGCAAGTGGATACGGGCTGCAGTGTAATGCAGCGAAGTATGAACAAATAGTTAATGGTAGGGAATATCCGTACGTAGAAGAAGGGCACTTTCATTAAAGGTCCCATCAGAAAAAGGATCCAAAGAATACAATAAATTATAGCCTGAGATGGGATAGATAAAAGCGGAGTGTAATTTTGGTTCTTGTAAGCAAACACCAACAGGGGAAAACCAGGAGAGCAACATATGAAGCTCACCTCGATTACCCCCGAGGCGGCGGATATTCCACTGTAAATAAGCCATGATTGGTAATGATAAAGACACCAGAAATCCGCAGGTAAGGGTACCTACGGACTAGTGGGGTTTGAAAAGTCCACATGTGGCGGCAGCGGAAAACGTTCAAGTAGCGAAGGAACGGAGCATTGTAAAGAAAGGAGTTGCACAGATAGAGGAGCGGAAAGAGAAGGAACTGGGCAGATCAGTGTCCATTGATGGTTTAGTCTCTGCAATATATTCTGAGATAGCTTCAAGTATTTCAGAATTCAAAGACGTTGTATGAGAGACAATATTGGAGATGGAAGGAGGAGGGTGAGTAAAGATTGGGACAGTAATGGACTGTACCAAAGTAGGGGGGGATGAAAGAAAGTGTGGGAGGGGACAGAAGAGGCAGAAACCTGGGAGGTGGCAGAAGAGGAAGAAACTTGGGAGGGGACAGGGGAGGAAGGCACAGTACGAGGAGGAGGGTGAACCTCCACACTTGTAACAGAGCCAGTGAGAGGGGAAGAACCAGGTACAGATACTGGAAAGGTAAAATGTGGAGGTGGAAGAAGGGAAGGAGGGGTTAAAGGAGATTTGAGCAATGGGGATTTTTTGGACTTTTGAGAAGTAGAGGGGTGATTGGGAGGTGTCGTACGAGGTCTTGTCGATACCGGGGCTTGTGAAGAACACGAAGATGTGAGAGTAGACTGAGGTGTTGAAGTAGGGACTTCTGAGCCCAGGACAGCAAAAGTATTAGAGACAGGAGTGACTATGGGAATGGTAACCACAGAGGAGGTTGCAGAAGATGGGACCCTAGAAGTGGGGGGATGTTTAGAAACACAAGAATAAGAAATACGAGGTAGTCTCCCTTGGAGGCGTAGATGAGAAACTGCCATAGCATAAGGGAGACTTTCTGCCTCTTTGAGGCAACAAATTTCCTGCTCATTTAAGTAGATCTGGCAGTGGTGAGAGTAAGAAGGATGATCCTCATGACAATTAAGGAAAGAGGGAGGTCGGCTACAAGAAATATTAGAATGGTCATCGGTACCACAGACTGGACATTCGGCTATAGATCTGCAATATTTTCCTGGGTGACCAAATCACCAGTAATTTCTATACTGTTGCGGTGTAGGGATCACCTTTTGAACTTGTAACCGATGTCCTGCTACATAAACAGAGGATGGGAGTTCACAGCTGTCGAAAGTTAATCCAGCCACATTGCAAGGGTATCAATTAGGTTCTGTCTGAGGAAGGAGACCAACAGGTCTAATTCCTCAGACCAAGAGCCTCTTCACCACGCCAAGGAGCCCCCCTTGAAGAGGACTAAACCCGTAGGGAGGTCATACAGCAACTGCTGAATTAAAAGCATTCAAATTCGGTCCAAGCAAGAACTTCTCTAGAAAATCAAGGCAAAACAATAAAATGCAAAATACTATACCATTTTGATATTAAAAATGACAAAATACCACCATCATGCTGCATTAAATATACTAACTTACTTCTGAGTAGAATACAAGTGTTGAAATTTTGAAGCCAATTTTGAGTCTCTTGTAAACAGTTCTAGCCATGCTATTATGACATTCTCTTTACATTTTCACATTTTCATGTAGTGGCGGCTGGGACTGTCGGGTCTAGAGGACGTGCAAGCAGCAATAGAGCGAGCGATGGAGGTGTCTGAAGGAGGCGACGGTGGTGACTCCTTCCTACAGTGGTCATACAGCGTCCTCTCTGCAGTCACCCCCTCTGCACTAGATATGAAACTTGTTGCCACGGCTCACCAGGACTTCAAGCACCACCAAGGCCTCATGGAGGTCACCTTACGGTCAGTATATGATTGTTTTGTGTGACTCCATTGATCATTTCCCCGCAGCCTAGTCCCAGCTTTTTTCCTAGATAAACATTACGTTGATTGGCAATTGCTGATATTCACACTTTATGCAAGAGTAATCATGATCAAGAATAGAAATCATAATGTGATTTTAACTATCATGGACAATTAACATACCTACACTCAAAAATGATATTATATAAATTTTCACTGTTCAGGAATGTTTGATGCAGCATTTGGCCATATTATGGGCTGTAGTAAACTAACTTTCGGATTAAAATTAATTTTTAAAAAGGAGGGGGTGGACCAGTTAGTCAGTGAAAGGTCTTGATCAGATGACCAGAAGCTCCGGTAGCGAGTTAACAGCCGTGTCAGGAAACGCTTGTGTTTCTTGTCGAATCTTGCCTAACTCACACTAACTCAAGAGTGAAAAAAGATTTCATCGTGTGTGTATACTTTTAAATTATTCAGAAAAATCCAGTTTCAAAATATGTGAAAAATTTAAATGAAATATTTTGATTCCTGCTCTGATATCCACTTTAGCATAAACTTGTAAATTAAAAAAATTAATTATATTATTGAGAATTACCATCAGATCACATGATTTTATTGCATCAGACTTCTTCAATAAGAATGGTATTATACATTGCTTCCTTCATGATGGTGTCAGGTCTCCTCTGTTGCTCTGACATGTTAAAATTCGGAACAATTTCTGTTTTGATTTGTTTTTGCAGCTGCAGTATGCGAGATTATTTCAATGTTACATTAGACACTAATATGATTCCTGCATTGTGCATGCAAACATGATAGTTCATTAAAGTGTATTTCAATGATGTTTTGTTCAATAATCCCAATCTTTAAATCTCTGCCTGTCTGACCTATATATTGCAATTCATAATCTTTGCAAGATGTTTTGTTGACATTTATATTTTGAATTTCTTCTTTCTGATTAACATTAATAACTTTGTCTATATTACTGGGATATACACGATTATGGGAAAACAAATGTTCCAAGTTTTCGATTGAGTGGAATAGGTATACCTAGTTGGGTTATTGAGGCTAGGACTTTGGGTAGTTTCAAATTTAGGTTGGATAAGTACATGAGTGGGAGGGGTTGGATTTGAGTGGGACTTGCACATCGGAGCTTGTTTCTTGGGTGGCTTTGAAAGTTGGGTTGGTCAAATGTTTGTTAGTGGGATGAATTATAAAGGACCTGCCTAGTATGGGCCAACAGGCCTGCTGCAGTGTTCCTCCTTTCTTATGTTCTTATGTTCTTAAAAAACTTTTCCTTAAATATTTTTTGCCTTTGGAGAAACTAATATTACCTTTGCTTCTGGCTGGTTGTAGGAATTAATTTGGTAACAAACGTTATGAAGATGTGTAGCAACATTAAATTACTCTTAATTTCTCTTGAAAGAAGCTTATTCAACATAACATTCCTAAGGCTTAGTACTTCAAGATTACAGTGGACCCCCGGTTAACGATATTTTTTCACTCCATAAGTATGTTCAGGTGCCAGTACTGACCGAATTTATTCCCATAAGGAATATTGTGAAGTAGATTAGTCCATTTCAGACCCCCAAACATACACGTACAAACGCACTTACATAAATATACTTACATAATTGGTCGCATTTGGAGGTAATCGTTATGCGGGGGTCCACTGTATTATTATTATTCTTATATTTATGGAGAAATGCTAAACCCTCATGATCATACAGCCCCTGGGGAGGTAATTAAGATTTTTATCCAGGTCATGGGAGGGTTGTTCCAATATCTTAGATTAAGATCCCTTTACCAACATCTAGGCTGGTTGAAATGAATGATCTATCAGCATGTCCATGGCAAGAATCACGACGATGACTGGTGGCAGAGCTGAAATAATGCATGAATGGAGACTTCTAAGTAAATATGCACAGGTTTACCATGCAAAGCTGACAGGTTCACCTAATGAAATTATTTATTTATTTATTTATTTAGTAATTTTAGCATACATACAGAGGTACAAAAAAATACAGGTAAGAGCAGCATGCCAAAGCCACTTATATGCATAGCATTACGGGCTGGCTTAAAATTAACTTAAGATTAACTAAGCAATGATGAAATCAGTGATAAAACATTATTTTAAACAGATAACTATAAAGCACAAATGAGTATTACAAAGACAGGTCATATGGTTGCATGCATTGCTGTACATTCAGTCGAATGGAGTATTCTGTTAGGTAGTGTATTTAAAAAAATAATAAAGTTAGATTGGGTCCTAGGTTTAACATTTGTGTGATATAATTGTGAGTAACATTTAGGATATACAATTTATAAGGTTCAGTTATTCAGTATTTATTTGGTTTTGAGTGAGTAAGTGATCTTTGAGAAGAGACTTGAATTTATAAACAGGTAGTGTTTCTTTTATATTTACAGGTAATGAATTCCAGATTTTAGGGCCTTTTATGTGCATTGAGTTTTTGCATAGCGTGAGATGGACACGAGGAACATCAAAGAGTGATCTGTGCCTTGTGTTATGGTCATGTGTTCTGTTGAGGTTGGCAAGGAGATGTTTGAGGGGAGGGTTAATATCAGAGTTAAGTGTTCTATGTATGTAATAGGTGCAGTAATAAGTATGGATGTTTTGTATGGTGAGTAGATTGAGTGTTTTGAATATTGGTGGAGTGTGCTATTTTGATTAAGGGTTTATATTACAATAATTATTATGATTGTAGGTAGTAGGATGGTAGACAGCAACCACCCAGGGAGGTACTACCGTCCTGCCAAGTGAGTGTAAAACGAAAGCCTGTAATTGTTTTACATGATGGTAGGATTGCTGGTGTCCTTTTTTCTGTCTCATGAACATGCAAGATTTCAGGTACGTCTTGCTACTTCTACTTACACTTAGGTCACACTGCACATACATGTACAAGCGTATATATACATACCCCTCTGGGTTTTCTTCTATTTTCTTTCTAGTTCTTGTTCTTGTTTATTTCCTCTTATCTCCATGGGGAAGTGGAACAGAATTCTTCCTCCGTAAGCCATGCGCGTCGTAAGAGGCGACTAAAATGCCGGGAGCAAGGGGCTAGTAACCCCTTCTCCTGTATATATTACTAAATGTAAAAGGAGAAACTTTCGTTTTTCCTTTTGGGCCACCCTGCCTCGGTGGGATACAGCCGGTGTGTTGAAAGAAAGAAATATATACTCTTTTGTGGTAAATAATTATATTTTTATTCCTGCTACTGTTGAAGCTGGATTTGGCATTGTCTGTATATAAAAATGACAATAATAACAAATATAATATCAATACAGCCTCTCCTCACTTAGTGACGTACTCGTTTACCGACGACTCGGACTTACAATGGGGTCTCTGACCAGTATGCATGCCTAAATAATGTACAGTAGGGCCCCACTCACATGGCAGGTTAGGTTCCTGGCTACTGCTGTAAAGCAGAAGTCGCCGTAAAGTGGAACACTTTTTTCTACTCATAAATGCATACAAATGCCAGATAACAGGTTTAAACTAACATATATTAAGTTAGCAATAGAACTAGGCATTAAAACACAATAAAAAGTAAAATGCATACTCAGGACACTTGTTACTTGCCTTAAAATATTAATATGAATATATGAAAGGTGAGTGGCAGTGAAGTTTTTTTCCATGTCAGCAATAAGTCACTTTGACTTTTTTGGGTTATCCTAGGTTCTCTGCACATATGCTGCTATATGTAACTGTATTTAATGGCTATCTCAGCCAATGACATACCTTGTTAGCAAGTTTATTCAGGTATACACAAATAGTTACATAGATTATCATACATAGCAGCATATGGATAACCCAAAAAGGTTAGTTCACTAAGTTTAATCATTTCTAACTTGGCACTTAAAGAGGCTTGCAACTCTTCTTATCACAACTACTCTTAGACGCCATCATCAACGAGAGCCAACTAGTTGACGAAATAGTAAACGAGAGAGAATTAGATACACGAACTTCAGACAATGTAAAAACACAAACTGAACGGGTGGTGGGCAATAACTCTCCCACCAACCATTCGCTCTAGGGCACTGGCGGTCACTCGCCCGCACCCTTGAGCGATAAAGTGCATATACAGCAAAGGTGGCATTTAAAAATATCAAAGATGATAGACACAAACCCACTACCATTATAGTATGCTCTTCACTTAGCGATGAATTCATTTACAGACATGATCTTAAGAACAGAATTCTGTCGTTAAGTGAGGAGAGTCTGTAATGATAATTAAAATTATGATGTAACTGCCAATAAAAATGGCAATAATAATATTGCAGGAGTGGAGAGGCAGTATTGTGGGGTCATCGACACAGCAACACGCAGACTTTCTACCAGGTGAATGCTGCTCCCCGCCCAGGACTACCCATACCCTCAGATATCATGGCCAAGGTGCCCCACCGTGCCCGCCGCCGCCTTGACCGAGACCACAACATTACTCTTCTGTAGGCATACTGCAATGCCTGCCCGGAAGGAGCCTTTTTACAGCCATTCACAGCAAGACTCATTCCTCTGCTGTCGAGTAACCCCATTTTGCACTTCCTGAATGCCAAAGACATTCTTTTCCACATTCCAATAGTGACCAACGTTAGCTTTTCGTATGTGATACAAGTCGGAAATTGCTAGCCTTTGATATATTTCAATACAATTTCTAATGAGCTTGTATATCATTGAGTCATCTCTTCCGTAGCTCGTTCTTGCTTCTCTTCAAGACTGCAGCAGGAAGTGGGTGCCTGTCTTCAGCAGCTGACAAAAATTGGTAATGCCACAGGTGTTGGGATGCAAGCCATGAGCTTTTCTTGCCTTGGGCAGAATAAAAATATAAAGAGTTCAACCCGTCCTTCATGACAGTCAACGACCAATCCAAATGTTAACACCACCTAAGTCGCAAAAAGACACTCTGGAAAGTGTCAACAACATGACTGAATCTTTCCCTTGACCACCACCACCATCAACACTGCCTAATGTTTGACTTCCCAGATGGACAACAGCAACAACACCAGCTGCAGCTACATAAATCTCATAGTCCAGAAAGTACACTTGCTGGAAACTCATGGCAACAGAGCTCACTAATATTTGTAAACCTTGCTTTCAGCATGTATTTGGCTATGTTGCTACTGCTGTTGACACCTGGTCCAGGCAGAGCTGGGTTTGATCTGTCACCTGGACACTGGGTATACGATGATGATTTGTCTGAAGTACTAACTAGAGTCGAGTTTCATTATTAGTGATTCTAGTACGTATTTAGGTCCAGGATGTGTTATTTCTGCTAGGCTTTCATGTGTTTCTATATTTCAAGCAGTTTAATTGTACAGTTGTTTATTAGAATATTATTACATATTTATTATTCAGTATTGTACAGCAGTATTTGGATATGTGTTGCTTTATTGATATTTATGGTGTTTTCTGTTTAATATTACTGAAGTAAATGTAGATTACATTTTACTTAAAATACTCTAATATATATAAATAGATCTATATTCTAAATGGTGGATTGGCGGGGAAAAAGATGTGCAAACTGTCAAAAGCATTTGATAAAATCTTGTGTAGGGAGTACTTTGAATTAAAGATTGAACGATGGATATTTACACCGAGTACTCTGGTCAACAAAAAAGCTAACCCAAAACATTTTTGTTCCTTTTGTGATCAGTTTTTTGCATTCTGATTTCCCCCTTTGCAAAGGTTAAAAGTTCATATGTATGAATAATTTACGTAAAATCATGTTTTGTATACAGGCTGATGTGTCCTGAAGTTACCCTAGACAAATTGTTTTGATTACATTAGATGAATTCAGTGGATTGGTGGACAAGGTTGAGGATGCAAGAGGTGCTCAGAAATGCAGTCAATTCTTTGTTTGCTTCACGGAGCTTTCCATTACATTTAGACTCCATTTTCAAATGTATTTCTTTATATATATTTATATATATATATTATATTATATATATATATATATATATTTTATATATATATATATATATATATATATTATATATTTTTATATATTATTAATAAAATTAATAATTGTAAATCACTTGTGAAATCATTTTATCATCTTTCAGAGAAGGTACTATGAAACATATTGCTTATGAGCTGTTGAATGTCATTCATATATTATGCTGAATGCATTCAGGCCATCATGGTCATAGTCTGCAACACAGTAAACATGTTGCAGAATACAACAAAGCAGAATGCAGAAACAAGAGGCAACATTTCTGCTGACAGTGGATACAATCCAAGTCTCATTCCCTTACCAGTGAGCCTGGCCTCAGTCCTCCACCAAACCGCAGAATTTTGGGTAGATCCACAAAGCCCCAGGTGTTAGGAAGGTCCTGTGTGGGGTGCTCATACCTGGCTTATAAATTAAGAAAGAAATGCTTGTATTGACATTTTTTTTATCATGAGAGCATTGCTTGGTGTTGTGCCTCGATGATGTGGCTATGCTCGAGTCATTACCGTTGAGTCAGCCTCTGTGAGTCTTCAACAGGACCTCAAAAGTGAATCCCTCCATGTACACATTTGAGTCTTGCATGTATGATCCATGTGATCTTGTCATTACGAGTTTCATACACAATTTGTGTGATTTAGCCTCACGAGTGTCAGACGTGTGATCCATGGGCACTTGCTCGTGGATCTCGTATACACAATCCACTTATTCTTGTCCTAAAAACAAAAAAATTGTTATCTAAATGTAATAATAGCTGGCCAAGTTCTAGAAACTTGACAGCAAGTGCCATAAGACACTAAGTTTGTAGATCTGCCAAAAGATTGAAGTTTGTGTCATTTGTATCATACATGAGTGTCATACGAGTCGGCATAGTCTAGAGCTTATTGGCAGCCGGCCCACTTAAACGTCACTGGCTCATGCTCTCTTTCTCTCCCTGTCATACAGTGAGGCTTGTTTACAGCCTATCCGAGTGTTGGAAGTGATGAATGTATGAAGGTGCTACTAAGCCGGCCTGTAATGTTAGCGCACTTGTGTGAGCCAGGTGTCGTGAGGTGGGGCAGGCTAGCCTCGTCCGAACCCAAAGTCCATCCATGTGCCAACTGTTGCTCCCTTCCCTTCCAGCCTTCCCTTTCCATTCACCCTTTATTTTCATTCTTTCATCACCAGTTGCAGTTCTTCCTGTTCTTATATCAGTTATGTTGTGTATGCATTTTACTTAATGCAACAAATGGGAGATCTGGAAACTCTTTACAAAGAAGCTGCAAGAACTTCATTTTCCCATATCTTCTTTAAACTTGAGATCTCCATCTTTAATGCCTTAGGTCCCTTGTATCTGTCAGTGTGTTCCTATGTAATGACATTCTGGAATGCTGCCTCTTTTTCCTTTACATTTGATTTCTGTACTTAGATTCCTGTCCCGTAGTGTGTTAAGTCCTTGTTCTCATGATTGTTGTTAGTAACCCGTGCTCTGAATCCTCTTTAGTACAGCTCTTAGAAACTTGCTCTACTGCCTCAGGGGCTGCTGTCCTTAGGTCCCTTATAAAAATCAACAGCACCCTCTGACTCCTGCCCTGCCCTCCCCTCTGGAGTTCTTACTATAGGTACCTGCCTCTAGAGTGTTGTTCTTTGTTGTTTCCTGCCCTGGAGAGTGTTTTCCATAGGTACTTGCTTCTGGAGTGGTATGCTTAAAACACTGCTTTTTTGCAGTTCCGCTCACTGTGACTGGATCCTTTCTTTTAGATCCCTGGTAGTGGATCCTGTGTCATCAGATCCTATGGTTAGAACCAACTGTCATACACATTTGTTCCAGATACCTAACTACCTTAAATTCATTTTTTGTACAATCAAGACACTTCACCTTTTAGTAAGAAGTAATTTAGATTTCAATAAAAATTACACTAATAACAAGGATGTTTGACATTTAAAATACTCATTCAGATACTGTGTTTGTCTTCGTTATAGGTACAGTAATATTATACGAGTTTTTGTTGGAGGTACATTTCATATAATTTGTGTGGTTTTTCCTTGATTGCCCTTCATGCTGAGGTCCCAGCTAGTGGTCCAGGGCTACTGAGCTCTAGCCAGTGGTTTGGGGCTGCTAAAGGCCTACCCAGTGGTCATTGGCTGCTGAGGTCCGAGCCAATAGTCAGGGTTACTGAGGTCCCAACCTCTGGTCCAGGGGCTCTGAGGTCTCAACCATAGCTGCTATAACCCCAACCAGTGGTCCAGGGCTGCTGTAACCCCCAACCAGTGGTCCAGGGCTGCTGTAACCCCAACCAGTGGTCCAGGGTTGCTGTAACCCCAACCAGTGGTCCAGGGCTACTGTAACCCCAACCAGTGGTCCAGGGCTGCTGTAACCCCAACCAGTGGTCCAGGGCTGCTATAACCCCAACCAGTGGTCCAGGGCTGCTATAACCCCAACCAGTGGTCCAGGGCTGCTGTAACCCAAACCAGTGGTCCAGGGCTGCTGTAACCCTAACAAGTGGTCCAGGGCCACTGAAGGATCCCTTACTCTATACTCCATTACTCGGCTATGACATTTTTCTCTCCAGTGGACTCTGTGCAGCCAAATTCTGTCACCAGTGGTCCACTGGTGGCTTTCCGTGTCATGTACAATGTCTTTATAATGTCCATTATACAATGAATAAAAATCTTTTGATTTAAGCAGCAGTTTAATTTTTTGCAAATTATGAACATTTACAGACATCTTAATTGGCATCTCAAAGAACAGAAATGGGGAGGAAATAGTTCAAGCAAAACCAAGAAAATTTTAGAAAAAACATTTTAATTATTTACAATGAGCACAGACCTTTTCAAGAAGGGTGTGTTTATGCTGGTGAATGACTAATGACCAGGGAATTTGAGATGAACTGCTTCCATGAATCACTCTTAATTGCCTTCCATTCTTTAAAAGGGTTAATACAACAATGGCTTAACTTCAAAAATATAACTACATTTCATAATGTAGATTTTTGGGACATTTTGTATCAGTAGGAAACACTAGACTGTGAACTTGGCAGTTGAAAAGGGGAATGTACAATAGTGGCTTTTAAGAGTGGCAATGGAAGGCGAGATTTCAATACTAATTCAGAAACTTTTTCGAGCAAAGTAAATCCATAATGAAATATGTAGAAGTAGAAATCATAATAGAAGAGGTTTGAGTTAGAGAAAATTGTGCACATTTATATGTATAAAATACAATGTATTATAAGAACTAAGATCTAAACCCACAAAGGTCGTACATCACTGAGAACACAACACAGGATACAGAGGAATATGATACATTGAGGTACATGCTAGAAAAAAACGTGTTTTACATCACCCAATATTCACTATATTGAAAATATGCATACAGTAAAGGGCTTTAATTACATGGCTTTATTAAACCTTAGGGAAACTGAGGTAGGAAGAGAGAACAGCAGGCTAATTAAATTAATCTGATGGAATTGTCTGAATGCTGCTGCACAAAAGAGGAAACTCAGGTGAGAAGCAATAAATATACTATTTATTTGGGATCTATCCCAGATGTAACTGACATCTATCTTGGATCTTTCATAGATTTATCCTCAATCTGTGCTGGAGCTATCCAGGATCTATATGGGAATTATCCAGGATTTATACTGGAGCTGTCCAGAATCGGTTGCTGCAGCTATCCAAGATCTGTTACTAGAGCTATCCAGGATCTATTGTTAAAGCTAGCCAGGATCTATTGCTAGAGCTAGCCAGGATCTATTGCTAGAGCTAGCCAGGATCTATTGCTAGAGCTATCCAGGATCTATTGCTAGAGCTATCCAGGATCTATTGCTAGAGCTATCCAGGATCTTTTGCTAGAGCTATCCAGGATCTTTTGCTAGAGCTATCCAGGATCTTTTGCTAGAGCTATCCAGGATCTTTTGCTAGAGCTATCCAGGATCTATTATTAGAGCCATCCAGGATCTATTATTAGAGCCATCCAGGATCTATTGCTAGAGCTATCCAAGATCTATTGCTAGAGCTATCCAGGATCAATTGCTAGAGCTATCCAAGATCTGTTGCTAGAGCTATCCAAGATCTGTTGCTAGAGCTATTCAGGATCTATTGCTGGAGCCATCCAGGATCTATTGCTGGAGCCTTCCAGGATTTTTTGCTGGAGCTAACCAGGATTTTTTGCTGGAGCTTTCCAGGATTTATTGCTAGAGCTTTCCAGGATCTATTGCTAGAGCTATCCAGGATCTTTTGCTAGAGCTATCCAGGATCTTTTGCTAGAGCTATCCAGGATCTATTATTAGAGCCATCCAGGATCTATTATTAGAGCCATCCAGGATCTATTGCTAGAGCTATCCAAGATCTATTGCTAGAGCTATCCAGGATCAATTGCTAGAGCTATCCAAGATCTGTTGCTAGAGCTATCCAAGATCTGTTGCTAGAGCTATTCAGGATCTATTGCTGGAGCCATCCAGGATCTATTGCTGGAGCCTTCCAGGATTTTTTGCTGGAGCTAACCAGGATTTTTTGCTGGAGCTTTCCAGGATTTATTGCTAGAGCTTTCCAGGATCTATTGCTGGAGCTTTCCAGGATCTATTGCTGGAGCTTTCCAGGATCTGTTGCTGGAGCTATCCAGGTCTATTGCTAGAGCTATCCAGGATCAATTGCTGAAGCTATGCAGGAACTATTGCTAGAGCTATCCAGGATCTATTGCTAGATTGCCATCCACTTAGATACCTCATCAGTTACACAACCCAGAGCAACATGGGTTTAGAGCAAGGTCTCTCCTGCCTGTCCCAGCTACTGGACCACTATGACAAGGTCCTGGATGCTACAGAGGATAAACAAAGTACAAATGTAGTATACACAGACTTTGCAAAAGCTTTCGACAAGTGCGACAATGGTGTAATAGTGCACAAAAAGAGTGATAAAGGAAAAACAGGAAAAATTGGTAGGTGGATCCCTAACTTTCTGACAAATAGAACACAAAGAATAATAGC